AAAAAAAAAAAAGAAATTCAAGGTGGAAATCCTAAATTTGGAAGCAAATGCAATGCACTTTTCTCAACTAACCTAAACCTTGCGATTACCTTTTAGTAGTTAACCATTATTCAAATTTTATTATGATACTTAGCCTTTGAACCCTTTTTTGCTTCAGCGTAATTCTTTCCTACACTCGAATCAGAATACTTGAATAAATATTATAACCACATTCCAACCCACATTATCCACTCCTCTAGCCAGATAAACTCGATAACTATTAACGAAACAAACTACGCATGAAGCACAAAGAATGACCAAAAAAAAAGTTAAGTATTAATGAATTACCTTTCGATTATCCTCGCCATTTCCTGGACAACAAGCTCGTTAGCTTATTAGTCGATAGTCTCTGCAAAGCCTTCTTAGCTCCGGCGACTTCCAATTCAGTCAACCTCTGCAAATGCACCTGAGAGCCGGCCTCAATGAGCCTCCTCCGGCATTTCCGGCTCCCTCCGGCCAAGATTGCCCCCACAACCGCCACCGGAAACTTCTTCGAGACAACCTCGTTCACCGGATCCAACATTCTCACAAGCCTCATAAGGCTCTTCTCATCCCTCACAAACTCTTTCCCGTTCGATTTTACCGAAAGCAACGAGACCAAAGCTTTCGCCCCGACCTCTTGCATCCCGTCTGGCTTCACGCATTCCATTAGTTTAACCAGAGAACTCATACAACCGGAAATAGCCCGCTTGTTACCATCACTAATGGCTAAATTAGCAAGCAGGGAAGAAGATATGTGCTGTATCGTGACATTTTTGTGATTTACGAGTTCTGAAAGTTGTAGAATGAATGGAGTTGAACTGGATAGTGTTCTGTAGCAGGCATCTGAAACAGAGAGCGAGTAAATTGCTCGAAGGACGTGCTCGAACGTGCCGGAATTCGAGCAATCGTGAAATAACTGCAGCAATTTCTGGATGGCTTTTTCCTGCAAAAGCAAGCTGCGGAAAAAATCGCTGGTCGAGGCAAAAATGGATATGCAGTTTGCTGCCTTTTCCTGTAAGGATGGGCTGCCGGAGATGAGCAGTTGAATCAGGATAGGGATGGCGCCTTCTTCGGCCAAAGCTATTCGAATGTCGTTGACGGTGGAAATGTTTCTAATTGCCCCAATTGCGTGTGATTGAGCTGAGAGCGAGCCGGATTTGCATAATTCGATTAGGGTTTGCACGCCGCCATAGGCGGAAACTGCCCAGGCGTGGTCGGAGTCGGAGGTTATGGACTCGACGGCCATGGCAGCTTTTTCTTTAATCGGCATCGAGCCGGACTCGATTAACCGGAGCAGGGGACCGAGGGCGCCCTCCTCGAACGCGCACCTACGGGGAAAATCTCCGGCGGAGATAAGCAGCGAGAGGGCAGCAACCGCTAGCTCTGTAATCGAGTCGCGGCGGTTCGAATCGAGCAGCGAGATTAGGCGGGAGACGCCGGACTCCCTCGAGACGACGGCGGCGGCGGAGGCGGACCTGCCTTCCTCCGAGAGGAGCTGAATCAGCGACTCTAGTGCCTTCCGCTTGAACTCCGGGCCGCCGATCTGGAGACGGGCGAAGAGGTCCCTGACGAAGAACGCGGTTTCTTCCATTGAGGAGTCCGCGTCGGGGCGCGAGAGGACGATGGCGGTAGACTGGTGGAGGACGCCGGAGCGGAGGAGGACCTCGAGGTCGTTGATCTGCCTCGCGAGCCAGCCGGCGGCCATGTCGAGGTCGGACTGCATCAGGAGCTTGCCGCGGGCGGCGGCGGAGCCGTCGGAGCAGTACCCACGGAGGGTCTCGGCGCG